ACATTTTTAAGTTTGATCATTTTGATTGTGTTTTTGTTATTTTTTAGTTGTGTTTTTGTTATTTTGTCATTTTAGTTGTGTTTTTGTTATTATTTATTTGTGGTGCTAAAATTTAGAACAAATTGTCTTTTTGTCAAATGACAACCATCATTATTAGATTGTCATTATGAGTACATCAGTTAAATTATGCTTCTGGAGTCAAGAACAATTTTAGGTGGCTTCCTCAATTGTTATAAAGCATTATACGAGGGTTGTCCTGGAACTATCTAGACTAACAAAGAAAACACAAAAATTTTGAAAAAAAATAATTTTTATTTCTCAACATAGTCCCCTTTTAGCTCGATACACTTTCCCAGTGATGTTCAATTGCTTTGATACCTTGTTTATAGTAAGAACCATCAAACTCTGCAAAATAGCCATCAACCCCAGACTCTACTTCTTCATTTGTAAAAAATCTTCCCCAACCAAGCAATAATTTTAAGTTTGGAAATAGAAAATAATCTGAGGGGGCTAAATCTAGTGAATAGGGTGTGTGAGGAAACAATTCAAACTTTAATTCATTATTTTTAGCCATGGCAATAACAGATGTGTAAACTGGTGCATTGTCTTGATGAAACAACACTTTCTTTTTCACCAAATGTGGATGTTTTTCCTTGATTTCTTAACTCAAATGCTGCAATAAGTTTGCATAATTTGTGCCATTAATTGTTTTTCCTTTTTGAAGATAGTCAATGAAAATTATCCCACACGCATTCCAAAAAACTTGCCCCATAACTTTTTTCAGCCGATGAAGTTGTTTTTGCCTTCTTTGGAGCCATTTCTCCCCTTTTGGTCCATTGTTTCAAATGCTCTTTTGTTTCAGGAGTGAAATGATGAGCCTATGTTTCATCCGTAGTTATAAATTGACACAAAAACTTGGCCTCATTTTTTTAATAATCGTCACAACGTTGTTTTTGGTTGATTGTAAGTAAATGTGGCACCCATCATGCGCACAGCTTTTTCACGTTTTTTCAGTCAATATGCGATGTACAGCACTTTTTAATTTGCCTGCCATATCAGCTAACTCATGCACTATTAATCGACAATTGTCCAGTATGATTTTCTTAACCATTTCCGGTTGGACTGAGACCTTTTAAATCAAAATATTGAATGACATAACAATGACAAATTTTCTCCATATTAAAAATTTACTAAAAATCTTCACTATTAATAGTCACTAATCTGAAAAGAAAAATAAAAAAAAAAATTTAATTTCACAGTTAAGCTTTCAAAGGTTAAGGCTTTCAGCCATGGTTATTTTTTTTTCAAAATTTTTGTGTTTTTTTTGTTAGGCTGAGTAAATTATATGTAGAGTTTTAACACCATTACCATTAATAAAAAAAAGTTTAAATTGGAAACAGACATGTGAATCTAAACCATTTTATGACTCAAAAAATTACATATGACTTAATACAATACATTTAGTTTTTCCATTGTAACATTCAATTGTTTTTTTTTTAATGTATTTAAAATTTGACTTTTTGCAGTGAAATTATTTTAGCAACACAATATAACTTTCTTTTTCAGATTGAAATAATTGATATTTTTTATCACTATAAAGTGATAGAAAAACCTACAGGTTTTTTGACCTTGTTCTTGTTTCTTAAATGTTTGATTTTTAAATGCTAATTAGAAAATTCAGTTTGATGACTTTAATGTTTTTTTGTGAACTATACTTTCTCTGTTTTAACTATTAAAATCAGAATTGAAGAATCTTTTCAAAAAGCATAAAATAGCTAGAGAATATTTACCATCAAAGATACTACCTGTATTAAGTAGACCCCAAATTCAAAAAACGTGTAGTTTTGGCTATGATTTTTAGATTGATATTTTTACATTTATGATTTTTAGGCAAGGATATGGTTGTGCTTTTTTTTATTTAATTTTTTTCCCAAAGATTTTTCTATTTCTTAGTATGAAGAGAAACTTAGGGGGTAGTGTTGTAATTGTGTTTAAACTTTTTAAAAATCTATGAGTTCAAAAATCATAGAACCCTAATAGCGACTTTTAAGTGTTGAAAGGCCAAAGGTTTGATTGAGCAAAACTCAAAAATTATAAATATCTTAAAGGGAAAAAAATTAACAGGTTTTTTTTTTATAGCATTAGCATCATTGTATGAAAATTGAGAATAGTTAAAGGGTATCAATTTTGACCAACAAAATATTTGTTTAATTACTAAGACAATGGCTCTTAAATTAAATAATAATTTACTTTTAGAAAATAATAAAGACTAATAGTTATGAATAACAGTTACATTATGATTAACTCTGTTTAGAAACCATCCTCAAGATATTACTGACACTGTTTTGCTTACATCCAAACTGCATGGTGATGCTGTAAATTATTGCAGTCTTTCCCACAATACTACCTTAGCTGTTTCTTGTAGCAGAGATGGAATGGTAAAGGTAATGATTAATGGTTTAATCTGTGGTACTGGTATCTATTTACAAAAAAAACAAAAAAAATAATAACTTATGAATAAAAATTGAGAAAGATATCGTTTTTGAATTTGTTATATGTTGCCTCAAAGTAAATTTCATTTTAAATAGGTTTGGGACTATGTAACTGGGGCAGAAAAGATTAGTTTTAGTGGCCATGACAACGAGGTCAAGTGGTGTGAATTTTCATTTGATGATGAAAATATTATTTCGTGCTCAACTGATAAAACCATAAAGGTGAGGAAATATTTTAAATACTTATAGCAGATAATATTGTAGAGTTTAGTTTATAATTACATTATAATTTACTGTTCTTTCTTACAAATAAAAGAAGTTATTTTAGTTATATTAATTTTTGTTTGTTTTAAGTTTTGTTCAATTTTGAATTTGATAACTAATTATTTTATTTATGTTTTACTTTTACCTCATAATGTGACCACATACTACTTTTTTACTATTTAACACTCATTAAGAAATAAAATTAAAAATGAACATTAGAAATTAAATAAAATAAACTCAATACTATATTAATTAGCTCAGTATTTTTAACATTTGCAATATATTATTTTATAATTTTCATTTATTCTATTATTTAATACATTTGTTTATAATTTAAAAAATATATGAGTCAAGGTAAAGTTTAAAGAAAACAGTTCTCGAAAAAAACATTCTACATTAAGTTAAACTTGGTCACTTATATTCTTATTGTACTTTATTAAAAAAAATGTTTCTTTAAATAAATAAAATTTTCTTTGATTTCGTTTTTAACTTATTATGGAGTAATTGAAGAGCAATAACTTAAATTATTTGATAAACAATTGAAGAACTTATAAGACAGGTCAGGTAACATATAACCCAGTACAACATGCTTCATGTCCTGCTGCCTTCTAGGATGCCTTTTTTAGGCAAAGACTAGTAGAAACCAACTCTGACTTAACACATGCCCTGCCTTGGAGCTTTTGGTTGAGTAAAGGCTAAAGATGGTGTCTCAATAAAAATATTCTTCTTGAGCAGATGTTGAATGCACCTAGCTACTGTCTTGTAGAAGGCCTCCTAGGCAAAGACTTGAGTGGTAATCAGATTCTATCTGTTAACCAGCTTCACACCCCTTCTTCATCTATTAGGCTGGCGTGGGTGTATTTATAACACATTGTTTTTAGTTTAGGATGTTGAATGTTGGATCTTCTTGACTTAATGCATTGGTTTTGATTATGATTATATTTTATCTTTGAACAAACAACTCATTGTATTACCTTTTAATAAGCGTAAGCTCTAAAGCTCAGTTTTATGGTTTAGAGGCCAACCGGTAGTCAAGTTTCCTGAATAGTTGTAAAGTATCAGAGTACTAGCAGTGCCATGTTGCGCATGGATGGTGTCTTTGTTTGTACCTAAGGTGCATTGTCTTTAGTTTGTAAAGACTCCAAAAGTCACATGCTTGGCCTGGGCATTTACATTTGTAAGAATTCACCCAATTTTTTGGAAAAGTAGGTTTGAATCCACAGGCTATTCTTTTATGCAGACCTGGCCTGGAAGCTGCGTGATTTCAAGTCTTTATATGACAATGCAAATTATATTTTGTTTTGATGATTTAACCACGGTTTTCACAAATGCGCTGAAAAAATTGGTTTTTAATTACGTTAAAAATAAATAACTTCAAAACGTTTACCTTTACTAACATTTTTATACCAGCAAAATGCTTTTAAATAAAATAGCTAATGATTTTAATTAAAGTATCATTGAAAGTTGTATTATTTTTTATTTATATTATTTAGTTATTTAGGATTTTTTATAAGTAAAAATAACATTTATTGATCTTTACTTACGCTTTTATATAATAGAAACACATTTAATAAAGAAACAAATCACTGCTAATGATTTTTTATAAAAACATTAATGAATAATATATATTTTTTATATTTATATAAGTATTTTTTTATTATAAATGTTTTTAAATAAAAAAAATTATTTCAATTTTTTAAATATATGGTTTAATTATTTTTTCTTTTGCGCGAAGAATTAGGAATCTTTTTTTAAACTTTTAAATGAGCGCGTTTATTAAACAATCAACAGTTGAAAGTTATTGCTTTTAAAAAAGGTTTCGCATAATATTATATTATTAAAATATTAGTAAAGATAAATGATTCAAAGTTATTTATTCCAAACGTAATTTAGATTATCTTATCGTTATAGTTTATTATTTTTTTTAGTTGAGTTTAAATTTTATTTTTTTTATTTTAGTTTTAGTTATGTTATTTTTATTTTGCTTTTTGTTATTTTATTTACAAAGATTTATTCTACTAAATTCTACTAAAATTCATTCTTGTGTTACTAGGCATTCAATTAAGTCAAATTTTTTTATTGTGACTTTCCCTAAGTGCTCCAAAAATTCTTTTTTGACTAGTTTTTTTCCTTGAACATCAGTGCTTTGATATTTGCTCCCTTTATCTTGTTTTCCTGATTTATATAGCTTCCCATCTTTTAAGTTTTCTGGTAATCGTTATCTTGCTTTATAAACTTCATATTTTCCCTTCCAGTAACTTCCAAATCTAATAGTGGTTGCTTGTATTCTTTTTCGAAGTGAAGATGTTCAAAAAAAAGAGAAAAGACAATATCAATAAACTGCTAAGTTTGTCTCACTTTATTATGGTTGCCATTTTCTTAATCATGATCCCATTTTCTACCTCTACAAATCTTATTTATCCTTGTGTGGAATACTGCTTTCATGTTTTGGCTGGTTTATCTAATTAGCCCCTCTTTTTCTTTCATGCTCAAAAAACTGTTATTTGTTTTTTATCCTCAAACATCCATACTTTTTACGCATCTTTTTGTTTTTCAATTTAACTATATAACTATATATAACAATATAAATTTTTAAGACTTCTAATTTTTTTTGCTATTTTCTTTGTTTTCTGTTAATTTCTAACTTTTTTAGTTGTTGGCTTGTACTCTTGTTAGCAGTGAATTTATTTATGTTAATTTACCTCCATTAATTTACCTCCATTAGGCTAAGAAAGCCTCTAGAGTCAAGGACCCTTCTTTAGTTGTGGTCCAACCCTCTCTTAACTCTATGACTCCAAAACACAAACCTTGAAGAATGAGGCTACTGGGCAGAGAACAAGTTGAGCGCGGTACTACCAGAGACACGGTAGGGAACAAAATTAAAACTTCTCGCTATGAGGTGAGCGTTCTACCCTTACACCTCTACTCATTTTTCTTTAAAAAGAAAAAGAAAATAGAAGAATAAATACAAGAATTTTAAAAATTGTAATTTAAAAAATTTTTTAATTTAATGTTTATACAAGTTTTTTTTCAAAAAAAAACCCAACAAAAAAAAGTTACTTATGTTTCTAGGTATGGAATATGAGAAGCAGTGAAGAAGAAATTTGCTTACGTGGACACACTGATGAAGTTTTATGCTGCAGATATTCAAAAAATAAAAAATGGATAGCAAGCACATCCATGGACAAAAGTCTTAAAGTACTTTAATGCTATTAATTATTTGTTTTTATTTGTTACTTTTTAATAAACTTTTTATTTATCTTTTACAGATCTGGGAAGGAATATCAGGAAAGCTATATATTTCTTTTAATGACCATACAGATGTTGTCAACTGCTGCAGTTTTTCAAATTGCAGTAATTTAGTTGTATCATGCTCTAATGATTGTACAACGCGGGTAAAAAGTACTTTTTTAAATATAATTTATGAATTTAAATCTACTTTAAATAATTATAAATGTGTTATGAGACATTTTTCTCCACAAAGAAATATAAATATTGATTGCTAATTGAAATTAGTGTCAAAATTATCTTTATTTTTCAAACACAGAAATTTCAAATAAGTTGTTCATAAAATTTTTACTTCATAACAAAACATATGTCATATGTATAATGAAATATTTATATCTGCTTTTCCCAAATGTTCTGTTAAATTTTTACTTTGTGATCATGTTGAATCTATAATTAAGTTGCTATATTTTTATAGGTATGGAATATTAAAGAAAAAAATATGACTCTGGTTTGTTCAAGTGGTGATTTTTGCACCTCTTGCATCTTTTCATTAGATGATCAGTTCATTTTTACATCATGTCAGCGTTTTGTACTGGTAAACAAAAAAAAAAATCACTTTTGAAAACAAAAAATTTGTTTATATCTTTATTTATATAGTTTACATTATGTACAAGTTTCAAGTTTTTTTTAAAGACTTATTCGCCAAGTTATTGTATATATTCAAAACAACTTATATATACCAGGTCTTGTTTTAAATAAAAAATTAAAGAGAATTTTATAACATCAAATTCACATTAAGCTAATGCGTTAATATTAGCCTAATGTGAATTGGATGTCATGAAATTCTTTTTAATTTTTAATTTTTTAAAGATATTAACTTTTTTAAATTACTGCAATTGTATTAATTACCTCAAAATAAGTTAAATATTAATTCATTTTTTATTATTACAATCAGGGAATGTCTTTTTTCTTTTAATTTTTTTTTTTTACATTAAATAGTTAAGTTTAATATTACATTTTAAAAAATGTTTGTTATAAACAAATTTTTTTTTTCTCTACATTTGTAAATGAATCAAAATATGTTAAATTTTTTAAATTTTTGTTTCTTAAATATCTAATTGCGGTTTTGCAACTAAAAATGATTTTTTATTTTAAAAAAAATATCGAATAACAAATAAATAAAAAAATATGTTAATTTATTTTCTTTATTTATTATTTTATTAGCGATTTTGTTGTGAAAGCAAAGATTATTTTTTCCGAACCACTATTTTATTGCTGTAAATATCATAATTTTATTGCTGTAAATATCATTTATTAAAAAATAATTGCTGCACTTTAACTTGTGTTTAAAAAGAAAGGTTTAACTTACATTTTGCGATGCAGCCTCGGAACACATTTACAAGGAATTTTTTTTTTAGTAATATAAAAAATGTTTGGAAAGAAAACCAAAAAATCAATTTTTTTGATTTTCCTTCCAAAAAACTTAGCTAATTTTTTTTTAAGAATAAATAAAATTTAAATATTGAACCATATTTGGTAATATTTCAAAATAAATTTGGCAGTTAAGTTAAACCCAAGCATTAACTTTAATTTTAATCAGAATTAATTTATATATTTTTTAAATCAAAATTAAATTATATTTTTTTATCAGAATAAAATTGTATTTTTATTAAATTAGTTTTGAATTAAATTATATACTTTTTTCCAGAATTAAATTATATTATTATAATCTTTGCTTCAAGCTTAAAATATAAGCATTTTTCAAGCGAAAAAATCAATTATTACTATAAAATAAAAACAAATAAAAATATCATAATATAAAATAAAGATAATTTCAATTAAAATTTAACTTTTTTATTTATTATTAATTTATTTTTTTATTATTAAATAGATATTTAATTAAATTTTCTTTATTGTAATCAAAAGTTGTATAAATATTCTTGTGCTCATAAGATGATAAATAAGTTTCTATTATATATATATTTTTTATGGTTTTTTTTTATGTTTCATTTAACAACTTTCTATACAAAAAATGTCCCAATACAATTTGTCATTAACTATATACAATTTTGTTTTCTGTTACTATAATAATATAATTAGCTTAATAGAGATTTGAGTTTTTTTTATTATTATTTTTTTTATAGTGCTTATATCTAGGCAATATTTTGCTGACCCTAATCTATTAGATGTCGGCATTAGGTTGGCAAAAAAAATTTGATACTAAGGTTTGACCATAAAACATAAAAACGAGGTCGATCATTTTTTGCCAACTTCAAACACTTAAAACCTAAAAACTCAGACAAAAAACAGATAAAAAGATCAGATAAAAATAAAAAACATTCCAGTTTTTATTTTTATATTAGAACATCCAATAAGTGTTGCAGCATTGACTGACAAATAGTTAAAACATGTGAACTGTGCTGCCACATCAACTCATAAATTTGTAGAACATGCAAGGAGTGCTGCTACATAGGCTGATAAATAGATAAAACATGTGAGGAGTGTTGCTACATCTACTGAGGATTTTGATCTGGGCAGGCAATCTATCAATTAAAAAAAATTTTTGTTAGAAGTTTTTAAACTCTTTCTGGTCTTCTAAATTTTTTTTTTTAAAAACATTTTATGATAAAAATATGGTAAAGATGACCATGCAAGAGTATACATGGTTAGCACGGATCCTGATAATGCCAACATAGCTGACCCAAGAACATCACTTATATGGGGTGATAGCATTCATATCAAGGTTCCCTGTGATGCAAATTTTGAAAACTTTCAATTTTGTCAGTGGAAAATAATTTAATTTGAATGTTCAAATTAAATTATTTTCCGTTCAAATTAAATTATTTTTCCAAATGAGGTGAAATTTTAACTTTTTAATGCAGGAATAAAATCACCTGTAGAATGAGAACCATTACATATGATTTGATAAAAAATTAGTGCAAATGTAGCACATGACTGCACCAAACTCTGGATAAAATTTTAAATGGGTTGGTTAACTTGTTAAAGATTTATATCAGTTATAATTTTTATTTTATTAGTTTTTTGCTACTTAGACCTTAAAAAATAACTGATTACCATGATATTTGGTCACTATTTCAAAATAAAGGTTACACGATTGTTCCGCTATGTAATACCAACAATTTTTGTTATAATTCCTTTATTGCTACAACCATCATTTTAACTTTCTAGATCAAAATATTGGTTTTCTATTTGAAGCGTTTTGATTTGGCTTATGCATTACGTGAAAATATCAGCATTTTCTAAATTTCTTTCAAAATGCATGAAGTTGTTAAAAAATGTTTGAAAAGCTTTTATAAAGACAACCATAAAAAAAAAATTTTTAAATAAGATAACAAAAATCATTGACAAACAAAAAATTTGGAGGGCCAGTCAGAGGAAAAATTTATGAAAGGGAGAATAGTACTTTGAAGAGCAGTAATAATCTTTTGTAGGAATGTGTCATTAAATAAAAAATCTAAATTGTCAATAAGTATGACAAGTGTCATTAATTTAAATAATTATTTCCTTTAAAGGAAAAAATTTAATCAGAATTATTTCCTTGTAATTTAAGTAGTTATTTCCTTGATTTTAATAATTTGCAATTAATAATAATGATTTCTTCACCTGCAGTGGCTTTATTATATAATTACTAACGGAAAAGGAGATTATGGTACAGTTTGGGCTGTTGCTTGCTGCAATGATTAATCAAGTCTTGTAAATCATGTTATTCAATCTTGCAAAATTTCTGGTGGATATTTTTTAAGCTCTGAATTCATGTGGTAAAGGTTTTCTCAAGTCTTGTTTAAGCATTGTTGATACTGTATTAAGGGCTGATATAAGAGTCCTTTGAGTGTGTATTTTTGCCAGTCCCTTAAAGAGCTGGCAAAGACACAATAAAATTTTTGTTGCGGTATCAGAAGATTTGCCAGAAACTCACTCCAACATTGAACAAATCTTTTCACTGATTAATGCAAATTTAAAACTAATTTTGGTTTGTGATATAAAAGTTGTTCTTATTTTAAAAATAATCCAACTGATGGAATTGCATCTTTTTATAGAAGTTGTCAATCATTTTTTTCAAGGTACTTCAACTGAGCCCATATCATGGGGTCCAGTTCGAGGAAAATGAATGCAGTAAGCTTTTTAAAATGTGGATGTGCTTCAACAACTTGCTGATACAAACTCGGTTCCTAACATTCTTTACATAATTGAAGAATTCAAAAGTTTCAATTTAGTTGTAGAAGCTTCCTTTGGATTTGTCTTTCAGCCAGATTCCGCTGAAATAATTGAAAATTTCAAAAAGTGTTAATTAATGATAACTGCTGCAAGCATAACACTTGAAATTTACGTCCTATAGTGAACAAACTGTCAAATCTCCTCATCAAGACTTATAAACATCGGTCAAGGTATTAACGAAACAATAATCATCTTAAATACAAAGAAAGATTATTATGCTGCTTAACTGAACAGTATGCATCTTTAGAGAACTGCTACCATAATTTAGTTTATTAGATTAGTCAGCAGAAAATCATGGCTTATGGTTTATAAAAATCATGGCTTATGGTTTATAAAAATTATGGTTTATAAAATGAACATTTTAACCATTTTAATCATTAACTGCTGTTAGTAATTATGAATTTTAATATTGAAAATATTGAAGAGTATTTGACTAAAAGAGTATATTATTTTGAATAAATTTTTTGTGGAGAAAATCAAAGTCTTACAATTTAATCAGATACTGTTTGATGGTAATAACCAATAATCCAATCCAACTGAAATTTTATCCAGAGTTTGGTATGACCATATACTACATTTGCACTAGTTTTTATCAAATTATATGTAGTGATTCTCATTCTACAGATATTTTTGTTGCACTATTAAGTCAATAATTTTTAATTTGAACATTTAAATTAAATTATTTTCTGTGGACAAAATTAAAAGATTTCGAAAATTGTATCACAGGGTATCTTAATGTCTATGCTATCATCCCATTTAGTGGCGTTCTTGGGTCAGCTATGTTAACATTATAAGGATAATGTGTGTGTATATATATATACAACCCTCCGCATTAGGAAAAATGAGGTCAGCAATAAATTGCCGACTTCAAACTGTTAGAGGTCGGCATAAGGTCAGCAAAAAAAATTGATACAAAAGGGTTACCATAAAACATAGAAACGAGGTCGGCATTTTTTTGTTGACTTCAAACACTTTAAGGTCAACCATAATTCCAAGGGTTTTATATATATATATATATATATATATATATATATATATATATATATATATATATATATATATATATATATATATATATAAACAGATTTTATGCTGAAAATTTTTAAATGAATACTACCCACATTACATATTTTTAGATAAACTATTTTATAGGCCCTGCTCATTTTTTAATTAAATGATGGAATAAAAAAGATATTGTTTTATTCAAAAAGTTTATAATTTCCTGGATCACTACCTTTTCTTACAAAAACATTTTGTAATTTATGTTAGAAAAAAATAATGTATACATTGTCTTTTTTTTAAAAAAAAAACACAATTAAGTTTTAAAAAAAATAAGTTCAAATAATTCACGTTTTTTAATAAATTGTGTTTTAGAAGTGTTCTTCTAAAGATGGAGATTTATTAGAGAAAATTGAAACTGCTAGTGATATTTTATCTATGGCTCTATCTTACAATGGCAAACATATGGGCTTATCTCATCAAAATATGTGTGCCTCGGTAAACTTGGATTTCACAATATTAATGACTATACAACAAAAAAAAATTTGTGGTGTATCGAAAAACTTTTTTCTTACTATCAAAGTGTTCCAAACTTGTTTCGAAGCTTTTAAAATTTTTTTTTTATTAAAACTTTTTTTATCAAAACTATTGGTATCTAATATTTGACTTTTAACTTCTGCAGGTGATGGATTTATCAAAAAGTGAGGTTGTCAATAATTATTATGGCCATAGCAGCTGGGTTAACAGCATAAATTTTTCTAGAGATGGAAGTCGTATTATAACAGCATCTGCTGATGGTGCATGCAAGGTTCTATTACTTTAAATTCAGTAGTATATACTTTTCAGTATCTTTGGTTTTATTTATTGCTGTTTTCTGTATTTTCCAGTTTAATGTATTTTATTTTTTTAATTTTTTTTAATTGTTCACTTTTCTATAATAGAGCTTCTTTAGATCTCTCTTTTTTAGTTTCAATTTGGTCTTTTTTAATTCTGTTTTTTCAATTTATAGTCTGATTATACTTCTTTTAGTATTAGCTCAAATGTAATATTGTTTTATGATTTTTTAAATTGGTAAAAAGATAGATGGTGAATATGTTATTGGTGGAGTGGTATCATGGTTAGCAAGAAGAATTTGAACTCAGCCATGTTTTTGGTAGTACTTGTTTTTCTAAGGTGGTTCTCTGAACCACTGCTGTTGAGGTAAATAGGTTTAGCATGCAATATGAGGTGAACCATGCATGTTTACCGAAAAAAAACAAGTTGATTATTTGTGACCAGAAAGTTAAAGGAATATGTTAATCGGTGCAGAAGATTTGAAATTTTTAAAAATCATTTTGAAAATAATCATGTTAATCTTGAAGTTATTTTTGTTGTATCCTATTTTTTTAATTAGAAAATTTTAAAAAACCAGGAATTTAAAAGTACCAACTTTATTGGCAAATCCAGGATTTTAAATTTTTATTAAGTAGAGAGAAAAAAAAAGGTTAAAAAAGGAATTTTGTGAGTTTGTGAATTAAGAAAACTTTAAACAACTTTTTAAAATCATTTTGGTTTTTTTTATCAGAATACACTTTATATATTTTTATTTCCTAATTCAAAATAAAATAGCTAATATTTTTTTTTTACAAGTTTAGTTTTTTTTTTATTCTGGAGTACTATCACATATCCATGTTTTTGTTTTATAAAGACAATGAATGTCAGCTTATTTATTTGATTTAAAATTTCATAAATACACATTTGATTAATTTTATTAAATCATGTACAAAACTTTATCAATGTTCAACCAAAATATCCTTAAAATTTCGCAGAAGGATTAATTTTTTAACTTTTTTTAATTGGTATTTTTTACTGAAGGTTTGGTCAGTAAAAGATAATATGGATGTAGAGGAGAAGTTAATTCCGGTGTTTGATGTCTCATTTGAATCTGGTTTTTATATTGTTGTTGGTACTAATCAAAAAAGAATAAAGGTAATTTAAAATAATTCAATTATTTACTCCTAATTTTTATTAATCAAACTTACACTAAATTAACTCCAAATTTTTATTAATCAAGTTTACACTATGTTAATAAAGATATATCTGCAAAACATTTGGTGTCTTACCTTCTAAAATGTGTTGCTATTATGTTATCTGTTATTATATATATCGGTTATTATATATATCGGTTATTATATATATATATATATATATATATATATATATATATATATATATATATATATATATATATATATATATATATATATATATATATATATATATATATATTATATATATATATATATAGTGCATGTGATAAATAAAATTGCGATATTTCGTGCTCATAATACTGATATAGGTTATCAATGAATGCAATTATGCGCACTCAGCATCAAGTCTTCAAGAGCAATTTTCAGACCTGCCATGGGGCCATCCATAAATTAAGTACACAGGGATGGAGACGGAGTCACTCAAAAGTGTACTAGTGCGTAAAAGGGAAAGAGTGGACGGTTTTTTGTTTGAATTTTTTCATGTGAAGTCCAGTAAATCAGAAGAAAAAACTTTACTTTTAGCTAATGCATTTATCTATCTACCAATATTGAATAAAAACAATGAAGTATTGCCATTTACAAAAAATTGACAACAACTTTGTTTCCTATTGGAGTTGAATTAACATGCTTGATTGCAGAAATTCTAAACAACAGAAACGTTTTTAATTTAATTTAAAATAAATAATAGTTAAAAAAAAAAAAAGATAAGAATAAGGATTGTTTATTTATTTACAAAAGATGTGCGAAATATTAAAAACAATAAAGGAAATTAACTTATGTTTTTACACAATCTTTGCGGATTATAACTTTCGATTTTTCAAAATTCAATCAAGTTTTAATTTTTTAATTTGAATTTTCTATTCTCATTGGGCTAAACGTTTTGAAAATAGTAAACATTAAATTCTATCTGTTAGCAGTAATGACTTAATAACTTTCCATTCATTGTTTGTACAAAACAGAAAACTGCTTTCTAATCTAAACTGAATAGTCATTAATTAGTAGAATATGATCGAGCCTGTACGAAATCAAAGCTATAGGTGAAGTTTTAGTTTAATAAATTATTACGCTAGATATTTATAAGATATTTATAAATATTACGCTAGATATTTAATTTTTAAACATTTAAGTTTAGAATTTTCATTGAAGTGTTGCAAGTTTTGATATTTTATTACATGAACTTTTATGCAATTCAAATTAGAATTTCTAGTTAAGTGAAGTTTCTGTGAAATGAACCCTAAAAAACTGTTTGAGTTAGCAAATGGTTCAACTTAACCAGGGTACGATTAAGTGGATAATATAATAAAGTTCAACTGGAATTTAAAAATAAAACATCATGCTGAATTTAGCTTTCAAGTAGAAGAAATAAATCATTGTCTCTCTTGCACTACGATTTTTAATTTAAACTTATGTTGCATAAATTAAAGTTAAAGTATGTCACGCATAAATTATTATGAATATAACTTATTTATTTAACAATATGCAAACTTTACTTAAACATACTTTAACTTCATCAAAAAAAATTTTATTAAAAATATTTTTTATAAAATAAACTTATAATTTTCTCCCTCAAATGTTCTTCAGATGAACATGATTTTTTATTCTAGTATCAAAAATACCAAGTGCTATTTGTTGCTTGCATCAACAGATTTTTACATATGTACAGTTTCAGCATGTACCTTCTATGTTACTGTGAGTTGTTTACGTAAAAACTAAATAAACATATTTTTAATATGTTTATCAATAACTTATATTAAAATTTTTAAAGAATACTACAATTCTTCTTTTTAATAGTCTTGCATAATCTATTGTAACTTTGAGTAAAAGTTTTAATCAAAACTGAATAGTTTGGGCCAAGACACTATGAACAATCTTATTAAAACTTTCTCATTATTTTCAAGAGATGGTACATTTCAACAGGCATTATCAATTCAATTTAATTAAAACTTTAGACTGTTTCTCTACAGGTGCTTTGTTTGAATCCTTTTTCTCTTTGCAAAGGAATCAAATGCTCTTGAACCAATCAGTAAGTCCATACAAAAATTGTATTATAAATGATTCCACATAGTTACAAATCCCATTAGAAGGTGATATTCTGATAATGGGACTTATATTATTATACATAGGAATTTGTCCATTTTGGGCAGACAAGGATTGATAACATTCTAATTGTACTGAAATAATAACTTTTTATTCTGTTAAAAATGATAAATTTGTATTAAATGATAAATTTCAAATTTATTTACAATATATATTGTACTCATTTATTGATATCTTATATTCTTTCATACTTTTTAACGCAAATCCTAGAGATGGATAAAGTTCATAGGGATCATTCAAAGATTGAAATGTTCATAGCTCTCCTGAATAAAGTTCTAAAGTTCCTTCATACCATTCTTAGACATATTTTTTGTCATGAACCTACATTTTTGTATAAAAGTTTATAAATATGTTTTAAGTAAAAAAAAAAAAAAAGCCATTTAATAAAGTACTTATTTAAATATTTTTTATTTTAAAATTATTAAAACTCTTAGGAATTTCTATAAGAATGTTGATTGGGTCAAAATCTTTTAAGCCCTTGCATTCATTCACCCTTGCATTCATTCAAATTCATTTGCTCAACTATTTTTGTCGATGTTTAGAATGATTCTCATTAAGCTTTTTACAATAGATTAAAACAAGTGCCCCTGCATATGTTCCTCTTGAACTGCTCATCTTATAAATATATACCTATATACTTACAAGCAAACATACATACATACATACATACTATTATAATTGCATTTTAAATTTATATTTTAAAATGTAATTTAAAATAATATAAATACCTGAATTCATTCCATCTCTTACAAATGTAAGAGATGGAATGTAATTTTTTCTTTAGGAAGAAACGAGAATAATTATTTCTTTACTTTTTTGAAAATTTTAAAAATTATCTCAACAAAATTTGCTCTGGTCATAAAAGGTGAACATTAGTGTAGTTTACCACGAGCATTTTCACAAAAGCATATTTGGCAAAGTTTCAGTGTTAATCTAGTTGACTGTATATAATGCATAATGTTGAGCAATATCTAACTGTGCCTACAACAATTTTATCAACCTTACAGAGATATAAGTTTTTCTTAAATCTCTATAGCCAGGGCATAATCTTGTAGTGTAGGCAAAGACTTTATGTGAATACTCATTATACTAATAATTAAGTTCATGTATAAATACATAATTACAGACCTTGAAAAGTTGATGTATGAACAGTTATTTTTTGATAAATTTTACCTTTCTATCAATATATCTAGTTTTTTACTTGTAAAAAAAAATGATTTTTTAGCAGATTTTTAATGCAAATTTTCTAAAAATGTGATACCTCCAAGATTTTACTAAAGATGGAAGTGTACATCTTACAATTTAATCATAATTATTAATTTTTTGGGGGTAATTTTTGGGGTACTCTGAGATCTCTGAACTGTTCATTTTGTATTTCAGTGTACCAAGTATATGAACTATATAATAAATACATTATTTAAAATCCGTTTGTCAAATTAAGCTCTATAAGAGTTCAAAGAATTACCATTAACAACATCAGTAGGTTGTTAACAGTAGGCGATTCCAATTAAAAGATGTTTGTTGTGTAAAAAAATAGTGTCTACATAAAAAGTTAGTTATTTCCTAGAGACATTTTATTTGATGATTTCTTGGCAAAATTTTCTTGGTTAAAATTATTTATTCAGTTCCATTGAATATCTTGTACATTTGAGTCACCCTAAAGCCATCATTCAACTATAATAGTGAAGCCTTATCTTATCTTTCCTCATAACATAGCTTTTTAGTGACAATATTAATCTAGTAGCACGATGCTGAACCTTTTCTAAAATATTAATTTTTATTTTTAAGACATAGAGATCACACTGCAAGACATAGAGATGCAGCAAGTTCAATTAATGGTCTAACAAAAGGTGCGTGTATAGATTTTAGTAATTTGCTGTTAAAACCTAGAAATGTTTTCTTTTTTTCTTTGGATAAAACATCTGTAAATGAAAACCTTTTCTCCTGGACCATTCCAATTAAGTCTGAACTAAATACTATTCCAAGATCTTTTTCAACGACAGTGATACTTAACAGTATACTTTGCATAAAATAGTTTTTTTTTGGGTTGTTTTTGTTAAAGTGCATAATTAAACAGTTCTCAAAATTAACTTTTAATAGCCATTTATTAGATCAGTTTACAGCCTTCTTTAGATCATTTTGCAGAAGGTTAAAATTTGTTACAGAATCAACCTTTATTAATACTTTTGCATCGTCAGCATAAATTTTTGAAATATTTATAAAAATATTTACATTTCTTGATAAAAGCATTTTTTTTTTTTTTTTGTTGAATATTTTAAAGTTCAAAATTTTTAAACTTTTTCTCAAATCTTGATTGTTTCTTTATCTTTGCATTTGGTGTTATGTGCGTTATTTTTGCATTTAATACATTTATTTTGAATAAAACATCTATAAATAAAAACTTTTTCTTCTAGACCATTTCAAATTTACTCCACCTTGTTGTATAAACTTAACAGAAAGTTTTGAATTATTTAAAACTTATTGTGCATTTGTTATCATTATCTTTACACAAAAAGTACATTTATGTTTATATTATACAAATCAATTTTATAAAGTGCATTGAGTATTAGTTTCTTCAGTATTAGTTGCATTAATTGTTGTAAATATACATAACCTATAATCCGGTTTGCTTTATTTAATATGGAATGGCCCTACAATTAAGAGCACTTGAGCTCTTATGATTCATCAATATATAGTGCTTACTATGAGTCCTAATATTATGATTCATCAATATATGAATATCATTATTTTTGTGATAATTATTTGTAATAAGTAACTGAGTTTTGTTTAAAATAAAATTCACAAACTACTACAAGCCCTTAGCTCACAAAAGATCAGATT